GGACATTATTATTCTATGTATAAAAAGGTGGACCTTCCGTAAACTATTTCCAGAAATACAAACCATTTAGGAATCTTGGCATATATCAGAAAAGGATTGATAATAGACCACCATATACAGTATACACATACACAAGTCAAAATAAGTACGATATTCAAAAGAACGTAAAAAGAATTGATACGTTTAAATTCAAGGCGCCGATAATATGAATCAGGGGACTTGATAGTAAAACTCCAGCAGAGGATTTCTCCCCGAAGTCCCCGAACGTTTCTGGGTTTATTCACACTGACTACAACAAGAACAAATGACTCCTCACCTGCTGTTTCCCCAGACTCAAACACTATTTTTCTCTACCCATTCCTGCACTTTTTCTTCCTTAGTCTCTCAACCACTCCCCCTCTATTGGTTTTGGGCACCAAAAAAATCCTACATTCCAGCTGATCGACCTGAAGTCTTCCCACTGCAGTGTATTATATACGGGTCTTTCATTCCTTCGGCCAGACGGTCTCTAGTGGCACCTCCTTGTCATTACACCTTGTCATTAGGAGTCACCTACCACAGTGTCCTTCTCTATCTCCATCAGAGCGTTGGACTCTTTCTCCAGCTGTAATATCTGATCAGTGATGGTTTCCCGGATCTGTTCCAAGTTCTTTAGCCTTTTACACAAAAGAGAAAAGCGACTGACCCATGAACAACAACAACAACAACAACAACATGTTGACTGTTGGCCCATGAACAATAACCCTACTCTTTAGTGGCAAATGTAAAAGCAGGATTTCTAGGTCTCTGTATGTCATCAAAGGGTTTAGCTCACTTAAGGCCTTAACTCAGTCAATTAACTTTGCATAGGCCTAGAACAGATAAGGGTTTAGGAGATCTACACAACCTGCTGTTGTGTTGCACTTATAGGCCAGACTCGGAGATCTGACCTACTGTATGCTTTATAGCCTAATGAATGAGCAATGATGGCACCAATCAAACTGGATAATGTGCAATATAATTCAGGCACAGTGTCCTCTTTTCTCCCTATCCATCCATTTTCATCAACAGAGCAGTCCAACAGGGTGGCGGTGAACCATTTTAGAAAGTTCGATTCCATAATTTACACTGCGCATCAAAAGAAACTTACAGTATGGTATCATTACATCTAGGCATGTCTGCTTTCAGAAAAATGAAGTAAGCAGATTGTGATTGAATAAACCTTTTGGCATCATTTTGATGAATGGATCATTCAAAACAGACCACCTCAGGTGGCTGAGCTCAGGTGATGACGTGATCTAACCTACTGGCAGATCAAAAAAAGAACAACTCTGAGAGGAGTCAATATGTCTTGCCTACCAAGAGAACAATGAAGCTTCATGTCATCTGTATGCTGGCAGCTGGGACAGTCACCAAGTTGCTCAGCCTCCAGCACACAGCCAGCAAGTGGCAAGACATTGCGCCAAAGAATTAGTGACTGGACACCATCCGGGAGACATGACGCTTCCCCAAGATGGGACATGATCTGTGGATTTTCTAGTCAACTGGCTTTCACAGCAGTTGAAACGATCTGCCCTGTGAGTGACCAATGTTATCCAGCATGATGAACTTGCCTAGGTCCTGTCTGTCTTTTTTGATGCTCAGGATATAGTTTTACACACAGGATAAGAAATAAAACAGGTTCAGACCATGAGATACTTAAGCCCTGTGTGGATAATACACATCAGTAAATCCATCATCAGTTTAAGAAAGTAGTAATAACACCAGGCTAAAACTTTCACACTCAGGTAGGGGTAAAAGGATTGAGAGCGATCATCTGGACCTTTCAGACACTGCTAGCTAGCATAAAATGAAAAATGAACAGATGGAAGTACAGGGGTCCTGTTTTAGGTTACTATACAGGTGAGCTAAGACGCAGCAGCTACCTGCAGGTATGTACAATGTTCAACAGTGTAGATACACTCGTCTCACAGTCATTGAGGGCATGCTGTGAGCATATCACCATTCTCTTGTACCTAGACTGAAGGAGAAGAAGAGAGTTACATGCATTTCTGTATAAGAAAGCAGATGTCAGAAATGTTTATTTTACCATTAACATCAATTATCAAGGTTGGAAAGGTACTGGATGGAAGAATGCGCTTAATTCCCAACTAGATTTTCATATTGTTACACTTGAAAAAGTAATGGAAAAACATGGCTGTATGCTGTTAGAACACACTTTATTTTTATAGCTTATTTAAAAGTGAAACCTTTTTCTATGTAACCTCCGATACTGTATGTAAAATCTTCCTTTTAGAAAGAGTCAAATGTAGTCTGCTTCTAAATGTTTCTGTAAACCTTTATTTAACCAATGAGGGACCACATGTGTTAATGCATTTGTATTAAGGACAAATCTTTTTTTCCAGGTGATTACTTGAATCAGCTTTGCATAGCAATATTTTAAATGGTTTTAAACACCAAACTGAAAATTCACTGGACATATGCATCTGAAGATTTGCTTTTAGATATCCTGCTTGGCCTGTCCACACCTTGTGTCATACAGAGAAAGATCTCCACAAAGACATTTTAACATCAGACAGGATTGAAGCAAGATACTGTAACTTTAAACTTTCTCAGAGCACCACGTTTTAGGTCATGGAACAGTTTTCTCCAATGTTATGCTCTCACACACACAGTAAAACGACTCACCCAGAACTTGTTCCTGAGCTGATTTGTGAAGGTTTCAAACATACTGATGACACTGGATCCCCCTTCTGCTCCCGAATCAGTGTCCTCCATTGTCTCATTGGTAACTTTATGCTCTTGAGTAACGAAAGATAAGAGAAAAACTACTACTAATTTGCTCAAGATTATGCTATACATGCTCACAAAGTGCAAAAATTAGGAATGCAACCAGCTCTTTAGACAAAATCTGGCCTTAGTACTTGAACACTCCTAATTAAAACAGACTGTGTAAAGCTATACAATTTCTGATGCCATTTCATCCACAGAAAATATTTTTACAGCGATAAGAAGTGAAATACCCAATCACCCCCAAACACCTACAGGTGGGCTACATACAGCAAGAGGTTCACCAGTTTACATAAGTTGCTGGAGTTGCAAGGAGTCCACACGACTACCTTCATCACTCTCTTGCTTTTTCGACGAAAAAAGGTTTCTTGGTTTAAGCCTGTGACTGCTGATGTGCTGTGCTGCCTCCTCAGGCAACACTGCCTCAGAACCAGGGCCTGAGCAGCAGAAGACAAAAGTAGAGACAAACCCGCTCATTGCTGTGTCAAACATACAGTGAATCTTCATTTATATGTATTGTCCCTGAACATACATTTGTCTTGCACAAAAACTGCGATTCTGATGACTTTAAGGCACATTTGAAATGTATTCATAATAAAAATGATTGGAATCAACATTCTAACTTTCCAATGGCAAAATAAAAGGCTCCGTTTCATTCTTACAATGTAGTCTGTCAATATCTTACCCAAGCCAAACTTCCTTTTCTTAGGTTCAGGGGAAATCTCACCGTCATTTGGTACAGGCTCCTGAAAGACACTTTACTTGTAGCGATTTGAAGAGGACACATTTGAGGGAAAGACATTTTTTAAGAGAGTCAATAGTGAACTAAAAAACACAATTTATTTGTACGAACATTCTGAAGCACTGATGTAATCAAAGGAGGAAGCTGTTATAATCATGACAAGTTAACTGTTCTGGAATCTCTCAAGTGGGCAGATGAAAAAGGGGAAAAACAGCAATATATCTGTGTGGTTAATGCTGAAAGGCGTCTCTTTGCAAACCCAAGCGCACAGCACATCTGCATTAAGAGGTACATTACCTTCGCAGACACGGCTTCATCATTTGCAACATGCACCAAGCTCTTCAATGGCTTTTCTTCTGTAACTGAAGATGATAAAAACAGGTTCATTACAAAGAGAACTTTAATGACACTAAAGAAGATGCTGCTGTTGTAGATCTGCACTCCAGTAACTAAATGTCCCACTCAATAAATCAGTCACCCGGTAATCAAACTCTCATTTCCAGTGTTTCTCAGTTGACTTACCAGGTCAAATGAAAGGTTAAGAAAAAAAAGTTACCATACAAGCGACATTTGCAGTCTGTAATTGTGTAGCCTGACCATTTTCCATTTGTTTACTATTATATGAAGACGGTCTATTTGTGCAGTTCAGCTGGGCTTGTGTCTTCTTCAGGACTCACGCATCTGTGCTGTGTACAGTGGAATGCATTTTACTTGATACAATTTTCTAAAATAAACAATTTTAATCATTGGGATTCAAGCTACAGGATACAGGAAAAATGGACAGATAGAGAGATGACCAGCCTACATAAATTTATGGTCATAGGTCTGTATTAACTGGAGAGTTGGGGGTTCACGCCTCTGACTAGGATAAATGCTGTTGTCATTTTACCCTACTTGCTACAGTCCACCCATAAGTATTGCAGGGAATATACTACAATTGTATGTAGAGGGTCAAATGTACTCCGCCTGTTTAATACTAAAGAAATGGGAATAAGCTCATGTCTGACGAGACCGTAGGCTCAAGTATGGATACATTTCACTGAATATTCTGTTACTTGCCTTATAGTTCAAAAAGAGTTGAAACAAGTAAAGGTTAATTCCAAACTGAAAAGGTTATTTCCAAACAGAATGAAGCCTTGATATGGAAGTAAAAAAAATAAAACCAGGTCCTACCTGACCATAAGAATCGGGATATTTCAGGATATTACAATAGAAGTCTTACCTGGGCCCCTCTCAAGAGGTTCAAATAGCTGAGTTGATAACACTGGAAGCTCCAGATCTTCTTCAGAATCATTCAGGAACTGAACTATACCGCTCTGATTTTCTTTTCGTTTTTCTTGAAACGACTTCGGTGTTGAATGCTTCTGAAAACAAAAAGGTAGAAGAAGGTCTTTTTCAAGCTAAAGCAAGCCAACAAAAAAAAGCCCAATAACTTATTTGGATTAGAGCAACACTAAATTGCAATGCTAATGGAACATTTTAGACTCTGCAACAGACCCAGAAAACAGCAAAATTCAAACTTACCCTAATATTACTTTGTTCGTTTTCACTGCTGGGTGAGGAAAGAGGCAAAACTTTATAAAAAAAAAGAAATTACAAAGTTATGATGCTGATGCAAGCAGTTAAAACCTTTAGAGATTTTTGCTTCAGATATTTATCCACATGCACTATACGATATACAGGTACATTAGAAAGAAGCTCACTCTTCAGTCTGGATTTGTTCTTTGGCTTTTTCCTGGTGTAGTCCATTTTCTTCTGAGATCGTTTGAGTTCCCTGTTCAAGCTCGCTTCACTGTGTTCAGGGCTTTCCTCACTCTCTGAAAAAAATCTCTTGGACTGCCAAGGCTGAAATTAAAAATTAGACAATCCCATCAAAATTCAAAACGAACCATGGTGGACACCACAAAAACTCTGGACGTTTGTATTGCTTTTTTTTTTCCTTTGCATTTGACATTGCGATAGGGTGTTGTGGCTCTGGAGTGCCGCCGGCCTCTTTCAAACTTTGGAGAGGCCCCGCGAGCTGGTACAGGACTATCCGCATGACTTGAAAAGGTAGCAGAGTTAGTGTGCAGGATCACCTGGCTCTGGTCAAAATTCAGCTTCCACATTGCGAGGAGATGAACCTGAGAACTAGTGTCTCAAGGAGAGACTGAGTGGCTTCCTTCTTTGTAGATCAGGCTAAATGGAACAGTAAATTTAATAATTCCTTATACTTATCTAGCACTTTTCTGGACACTCCACTTAAAGCACTTTACAGGTAATGGGGACTCTCCTCCACCACCACCAATGTGCAGCCCCACCTGGATGATGCTTCAGTACGCTCTCCATACACCAGCTCTCAGTGGGGAGGAGAGCAGAGTGATGAAGCCAATTCAGAGATGGGGATTATTAGGAGGCCATGATGGGTAAAGGCCAGTGGGAAATTTGGCCAGGACACCTGGGAACACCTGGGAATCCCAGAAACGCCTGGGATTTTTAATGACCACAGAGTTTTACATCACATCTGAAGGACAGTGCCTTTTACATTATAGTGTCCCCGTCACTATACCAGGACATTAGGACCCACATGGACCACGGGGTGAGCGCCCCCTGCTGGCCCCACTTACACCTCTTCCAGTTTCTCCCAGGAGGTCTCCCATTCAGGTACTGACCAGGCTCACACCTGCTGAGCTTCAGTTTGTTTCCAGTTGTGAGCTGCAGGGTGATATGGCTGCTGGCCATATGTAACTCAAGAACATAACTGAAAAATGAGAAACTGCATATGCTGTGCCAATAGAATGCCAAGTACAACAAGCTTTTAAAAATAATTGAATATTAGAGGAGTAAACACAAGATGCTTTCAATAGATGCCTCAAGAGCTAGATGCCTGCCATGACAATTTTACTTACCAATCTTTTCTTAGCCTCATTCAGCTCTTTCTCCGTGACTGGTGTGGAGGCTGTCATACTCCTGACAGTGCAAGCAAAAACCACACATCAGCCTCCTGTATCATGTTTTATCAGGTATGTGGATGCTTTAACTTCTGAACTCAAATTGCATTTATCTTTACACAACCTGGAATAACCCAGTTTAGAGCTGTAATCCGACTATCCCAAAGTGGAAATGAAGACATGCATTCAAAGATGTGAGCAGTCAGATCTTGCTTTGGTAACAAAGGATCTGTTCTGCTCAAGACAGGACAGACCACAATGATTGCTTACTGCTCTCTCATGAGAAGTCTCAAGCAAACAGCTGTTAATCAGCTGTAGTCAAGCTAATCAGCAGCAGTTCTGTTGGACTACAGCTTTGATGGTAAAATAGTTCATCTATGTCAAAGAACAAAAATGTTTTTAACTCCCAATAACATGCTCCCCAGAATACAGTATCAATGCAGTGCATACAGAAGGTAAACAATTAGAAAGCAAGTTTAATTTCATCATGCCTGAAGCAATTCAAAGGCACTTTCACCAGAGGAATTTATTAAAATATACCATACCTGTCAGAAGAAAAAGAACGACTGAAGATCCTTGCTTTAGCTTTCATGATCTACGAAACAATATTAAAAATAATTACAAGATTTGTCTGAAACGCATAAGATTTACATTTCTTTCACTCCCTTTAACAAAAGCAGCACTGCAGCTATCCAGAATTCCAGAGAATCTGCATTTAAAGAAAAGTATCATTTGATAATGGAAAGAAGACCTTGTCTGTCAAGTTAAAAACACCTTCACTGACTCAATTCCATAATATGAGCCCCACATTAAAAAAAAAGGTTAAAAAATTGACTTTTTTTCCCCACCTTGAAATATTCCTCGCTTAAGGACACCTTGTTTTTCTACCAAATCTGTAAAGTTCATTCATTACTGCATACAACAGTGCTAAAGTCCTGTGGAACACCTTCAAATTCAAGGTGTAAACTTTCTCATTTAACTAGAGAACACCCTGGTGTTTTATGATGAAACATCTAGTGTGTTTTATAACCAAAACCTTAATGATATTACCCAGATCTTGTCTGGAGAGTGCCAGTCTAGGAAGTCTCATAGTTCACACCAAAGCAATTATTTATAAAGCTTAGGAACATACAGGTCAGTATTGATCAGATAATGAAGTAGTTGCTCAACAATTCAATGTCTGTTTTTTGAGTGTTAAAGGGTACCCAAACGTGTTCAAAAGCAAAATATGTTACTTAACTTCTTTATCACAATTAAACTCTTATACTGTATACTGTATATCTTTACAATGCTGGAAACGTAAATTGTATGATCCCTTAGAATTTAAACATGTACTGTACGTACTGTGCATGGGATAAAAAAGAATGCTTTTAAGCCCATTTAATCTTGATGTTTTGATTATTATAAAACCAGGACACTTCACAAAAAAATTTAATACATTGAAAATTAGGGGTATCTGAGGAAATAATAGCACTGCTCCAAACAGAGGATAAGGCAGAGTGCAAGTCTTTCAAAACCGGATAATTATGAAACAGGTACTGCAGGGAGACAAAACTACTTCATGCTAACTCAATGGGTAAGTTTTATACTTGAAAATTAAATAAGCTGTTATTTAACGGATTCGCAAAAAAATGTTTGCCCTCATAAGACTGTACTTAAACTTCATGGATGCCAGGGAAACTAACCTTGTAGCTCTTCAGTACCTCCTTGAATGAATTACTCTCTGTCCTCCTGACTTGCGATAAGTTTTTACTTGCGGGAGTCAGTGCTTCTGACTCTGCCACTGCAACATTAACCTGAAGCAGCAATGAATAAATATGGATTGAGAAACGTACCGTGCAATAAACAGGCTTGGAAATGGATGTCCATAAAGATGGGTTCCTGTGGGTTTCTCCTTACACATTAACATGCATGCTACATTTTAGACAACGCGACCCAGTGAAGTTGAATTTACACAGCGTTTTTCATTCTAGCCGAAAGCACTTCCCATATAGTAGACCCTTCTCCAGCCGTTAAAGCAGAGCGCCCTCCGGGTGACACATAGCGATCATGGGGCCACATCAGCCACAATTCCCAACACTGCACAAGGGAGGAAAACTGCTTCAAAAATATACAAATACAAATATATACCAAAACGTCAAGATCCTTTTTTTTTATCCCATGCACAGTATGTATATATTTAAAGCAGTTTTGTATATATTTCATCATCCGGGCCATATGAAAAGTAGACCAGAGCGGCCCAAATCTAGTCTTGGACAGCCACAATCCTGCAGGTTTCACAGGTCACAGGTTAAATCTTCAGTCTCTCAACAAGCGGAACAATTTTCCAAATCTCTTATGCAGGCGACTTACTCAAATTAGCTTTGAAATCATTAAAAACCAGAAACGCCACATTTTTTAAGGACTACGCCTGACGGTTTCGGACTTAAGCGACCCAGTCAACTTATTAAATTGATCCGAACTCTTGTGTTTTCAAGTTTAGACAGACTTAAGCATGACCTGCAAGATCGGTGGATTGCGGCTCACCAGGACCAGGGCTGGTCAGTGCGGAAATAGACCTGCAATAAGGCAGATTCACAGTACATAAACTGTAGCTGCAATGTACATTATTTCTTCATACAGCATATACTGTATAAATAAACACATGTACTAACCTCCGATTCAGACTGCGTTTCAATAGCAAAGACATCTTTTTTCTTCCTACAAATTTCAAAGCAGAGTATTGAGACCTGGACAATGTTCAGCCAGTTCAGAGGCCATTCTGAAAGTATGGCTACAGTTAAAATAAACATGTTAAAGAACCCTTCAATGTCAAATCTCATTCTTAAATATTTTCTAACCAAAAATTAACCTCCCATTCCAGAGTCCTTTTGCAAACTTGTGAACACTTGCTTAAATGGTGTTAAGCCAAAGCTACAGTATGCATTTCATTCCAGTCACTCAAAACTGCCACAGAGTGCAGGGGAAGCACTTACGCTTCAGAGGTTTTGCCTACTTGATGCGTTAGGTTTTCCCGAGCTTCAGGGGCGTCAAGAACACCCTGTGAAAATGAAATGTTAACATATGATAATTTCCGAAGATGTTCTAAATCCAGTACAGTTAAACCAGAATGCATCTGGGGCCCAAGAGGTAAGGGGTCTTTACAAAAGCAGAACTATTATTACTGTGTGGTTATCAAAGTACATAGCAGACTTGCGCTGAGAGTAGGTGAAAGTAGCCAGTGTTTTATTAGCAGAATTGACCACTTGTCTTTTTGTTTACTTTGGAAGCGGACTATTACATGACCATAGCTAGCATTCAGCAATGTCATTTTGTCAATTTCTAATTTTTCACAACAGATCAACTGAAAAGATGTGAAACGACAACCATGTCCATATTACTCAGAGAATAAAATGGTCAGGCCATAAGACACTTCATACCAATATTATTCAGAATACTCACAACAGGATCTTCTCTTGCTTCTGAAGCTGAGGAACTGAAAAAGTGCTGATTTGAGATTCTTTGTTTTATATTCTTTATAAACTACAGGGCTCTATGATCATTTGAGGTCTCTCAACATAGACCTTAGTCTACGGGTATTCAACAACAGATTGTTGCTCTGCAAGAAGGTTTCCCAGCCAACTACCGAACTATATTCCCTCTCAGAAAATGACAGTTCACAGACATTGAGATGGGTGGGGAGATTAGTAACACTATGCAAGAATATTAGCACTGTGTGACACCTTAAAGCAATGCATTTTAAATCAATCTTGACAGTGTGAAGGTTACCTTCGCTAAAATACATTACAATCATTTAGAATACATTGCACTCCATTAAATGGCATTATTATTGTACATACCTGCCAATCAATTAGCAAAAGAAAATTATATATATATACACATACATACACACACGTGCCAAGCAGGAACTGGAGACTTAAATGTCTTAAACACACAAATTTATTTTCCTGTTTAATTACACTAAAAAGTACAGGCAAACTTAGTGAACCTCACAATTAAACGAATTCCTCTTCACAGTAGCTTCTTGGCCAGCAGTCACCACTGCTAGACACCAGTATCACGGAGACATATACTGTAAATACACTCACCTGGACGAAGGTTCATTCTTCTTAATCTCAGGGCTTGGAAAAATTGAGTTAGATTTCTCAACTGAAGAGAAAAAGAAAACAGAATAACGTTTTTTCCCCTTTTTTAACATTTATATTGCAACATTTTATGTTAAAGTAAAAAACATACAGTACCTTTAATATCATTTAAAACAGAGGTCTTCCACTCCGAATCTAAGCTTTTCTGAAATGACAGCAAAATAAAACTTCAGCATGCTTATATTCCAAGAAGCCATGAGATACCACAGTACATGAAAGGCCTACACAAACTGAAATTGACAATGCCATCTTTAACTTTTTGTGTGTACTTGGATTGCTGTAATTATCCATCAGATTCAAGTTATAGTAAGACATCTCTTGTACACTGCCCACTGAAAGACAGCTACTGCTGTTTCACTACAAACTCAGCTTTTATGAATAACGCCCTTCAAAACACTTCCTGCTCTGACCATTGTCAGTATTCTGATACATTCTCCTGAAAGCACATCTAAATTATACAATTCACTGTCAAAATGTGACTATTATTTGCTTAAAAATATTATCCAGGCAACAAAAAAAAACAGGGCGCACCAGACAATGTATATGCCATATTTCTCATTAAAAGGAAAAAATACCTGAAGTTTTTCCTCTCCAAATATCATCTTCACCACTGAAAGAATGTCGTGAATAGTATCAAAGATAATTCTGACTGTTTTGCCTTCCTTGCTGTTCACAGACAATAAGACTTCAGTATGAATAGTCAGTATTTTTTGTTTACTGGTTTCTGAGAAGAGAAAAAAGTTAAATCTTTAGAAATGGCCATAATATTTCACAAATTCGATGGGTATCTTTGCTATCCATCTTAAGCTAAGGACTGCAATACACAAGATCACAGATCACATTTTATTCCATGAATGACCTAAGATACGGCAAGGGGGAAAACAGGCAACAGAAAAATCCATTATCCCTTCTTTTAACGCAGATAATACATGGGTTATAACTGGATATTGAGGAGCATAGCTGGGCCTATGTTCAAATTATCAATTAAAAAAATCCAAAGCAAACAACATAACAATTCTTAGGAAACAGGTTCTTTAACACGTGCAAAGAATAAAGAACTTTCTCACTGCATATTTATCTTTAAATCGGGTTAGATTTAGAGACCCAGAGCAGCTTGCATTTTCACCTACCTTCAACAACATACCAGCTCACAGCTCCTTTGGACAAATTAACCGAATCCCAAAGGGCTCCCTTTATTTGAGCATAAATGAGAAACAATAACTTAGGTACAAGCACAGTCTTGACACAGGAAGAAAATAAAAGCATACCCAGCTGCCTTATTCATGAGAGCTGTACACTTTTACCAACAATATATAAAAAT